TCCCACTTCCGGCTACTTCATGGACACGGGGAAGGAGGGCAAAATAGATGTAACTGAGAACAGGAAGGGTGCCAGCCAAGATGGCACCATTGCTGTCCTCAGCCTCAGCCTGGAATTCGGCAGAGAGTTCCACCAGGTTGGGGCCAGGACCAAAAAGGCCCTGACCCTGATTATGGACAGCCAGAGATCTTTAGGGCTGGGGCTCACCAGTAGATTGCTGTCTAAGGAGTGCAAGGCTTTCGGGGACATAACAGAGGAGACAGTCCCATAGATATGTCGGTCCCTGACTGCTCAAGGCCTTATAGGTCAATACCAAAAGCTTGAACTTGAGGTGCTGGTTAAAGTTATTGCTGTGCAGGCGGCCATTCAGTTCCGACTGACCCCTTCTGAGGAGAGAGCTGCATCATTTCCAAGTGGAGGGGGAGGAAAAAGAAAAGAAAGTCGAAGGGTCTGGAAAGCAAAACAACATATACACACAAACACACACAATTACAGCTCTCAAAGGGAAAAAGGTGAAATAAATACAGGAGGCTTGCTTGGAATATCTGCACATTTTCTTGTTGTTTAAGGGTGTGTGTGCGTGGATGAGTTAAATGTATAGCCTCTTCAGGGTTTTCATTTTTCTTTCTAAGTTGGCTTCATAGATTGGAGACAATTCAGGGTTGACCCTTCTTGTCTTTTTTTTTTTTTTTTTTTTAGTTCCCAGTTTCTCATGGTTCTCCAAAACCTGTGCTACTCTCCAGGAATTCCCAGCCGTTGTTCTTTTTCCTTGTAAAAACAAATTGCGCGAACACGTGAAAACAGAATTACAAATAATATTTGTGCAATTGAGTCCGAAGCTTTTCGGTGGCAAAATCGGGGTTTGTAGGAGGAAAACACGTAGAACAAACACAGCCTTTGCGTTCTGATCTACGTAGGCTTTATGGGAGGGAGGGAGGGAGGGAGGGAGTGAAGGAAGGAAGGAAGGAAGGAAGGAGACGGGCAAGAGGAAAATGGCTATCCTGAACACTTATAGTGGTAGTGGTCTTCAGTTTTTTTCAAAGCCAGGGCTACCTTTAACCCTCAAGCAGCAGCATGAGATCCATTGAATTTCAAGCATATGACAGGAAATTGTGTGATAATCACATGACAGGAAGGAGAAGGAGCTGGTTATGGCCTTACTAGGAAGCTCCAAGTGCACATGGAACACTGAAGGACCAAACTGGTGGGTGTGGCTGAGCCCAGTGCCCAGAGTGGGGGAGAAAAGTCAAAGGAGAACTTTCGCTGGTGGGGATCACTAAACCTGCCTGTGCTAAAAAGGAATCCAATGATGACTGACCTTTTTTTTTCATACCTCTCAGAACACATGCTAAAATAGACATAAATCAATAGCTATTCCCCATCAACAAAGCCCTATGCATCTTTCCCAACAGTCCTACCCCATATATTACCCAAGAATTATGGCCTTCATCATCTAAGAAAACACACACACACACACGTTCATAAAAAGCCCACAAAGAGCTAGATCAGATAATAGCATACATCCTATCACTCCAATGAGCAAAGTTGGAAGCCTTCCTCAAGCCTAAAGAGCATTCCTTTAACTTAAGTGGTTCTTCCTCCAATAAAGGAATTTCCTCCAGCCTAAGGTAGAATACATGCCAGCACGTTTACCAAACTGTGCGCTCGGGGAGGAGGATGAAAATGTGCTTTTCCTCTCTGCTCACTCAGCATGTACATTCTGCCCCTGAAGCCCTCCCCAGATGTTCATTTAAATACAGCTCACACATATACACAGTCTTGAACTGTGGGGTAGCCATGTTGGTCTGAAGCAGCAGAACAAAGTTTGAGTCCAGTGGCACCTTTAAAACCAACAAAGTTTTATTCTGGGTATAAGCATGCTGGGCAGACAGAGAAGGAAGGCATGTTCCCATTCCCCATCATGCAATGAGGTAAGCACATTGCCTCATCTAGACCAACTTCCTCTGCATAGCCATGGATCTGTTTTACAGCACACTTCAAACATGTATTAGCTTCACAAATCCCAAACATGATTTTTTTTTTCAATTTCAGGTGCATTTGTGGCTTGTGGCTCTTGTGTTCCATCCTCTCCTTTCATTGCAAGCGCTAAGCACAACTGCAGGCTCTGTTTTCAGAAGCCTGACACCTAACTGCACGTACTGTAATGTCTGAATGCCGATGCCTGAGTGTACGTTATAAAAAATGGGTGTTTGATGTGAAAATTTCCAAAACTAAGAAGTCTTCAACTATGCTGGGGAGGAGAGCATGCAAGCACAGCAACAAGCCAGTCTTGTGTCTGTCACAAACAAAAGTTTGTTCATAACTTCTGAATGCAGTGAACTTCTCTGTTATAAATGGAAGTCAAACAGTGATTATCCTATAAGACAGGGCATAGGTGAGAATTTGAGCAACTAGAAAAAAATTCCATTTAAATCAATAAATTAAGGAACTTTAAAGATATCAGACTTCTATCTATGTATTTTATCTCATGGATTTATGTTTTTATCTATTTGTTATACATCACCCAGAGTCCTGCAATTCAAAAATCTAATAAATAATAAAATAATAATAATATTTAGCTTTTTTCATTTTGCAATGATTTACAATGGACCCTTGACTGTACCTTTAGGCTCCTGTCATAACATTTCTGCCTACAGGCCTATAGCACATCCATTTAATGGCAGTACAAAATTTGAAGACACTTAAAGTAAATCCTTTATTAAAATTTCTATTAAAGGGTTTAACACAAGATTATGAATTCTCTGTTAATCCTAAAACAACTTGAAACCAGTCATTTAACTTCAATGAGAAAATTAGCTCTAATTAAATAAATTATTAGGTTAGAACAGAGAATACTATTTTTGCAGCAAAACAGTGAGGGAACTTCCCCATGCCTAGGCAACTTCCTGACAAATTTGGTCTAATCCAGAAATGAAGGCTGCAAGATGCATACTGAAATATTACTTTTAAACATTTTAATATAATTCATAAATACATTTGTATTTGATCCTATGAAAGCTATAATATGACTAAAAACAGATCAAGCCTACCTCAAGGAACAAGGGGGAAAACCCCCCATTATTTTGTCCAGTTTGGTGTAGTGGTTAGGAGCGCGGACTCTAATCTGGGAGAACTGGGTTTGATTCCCCACTGCTCCACATGCAGCTGCTGGTGTGACCTTGGGCCAGTCATAAATTCTTTCAAAGCTGTTCTCTCAAGGACAGTTCTCGGGAGAGCTCTCTCAGCCCCACCTACCTCACAGGGTGTGTGTTGTGGGAAGGGGTTGTAAACTGCTCTGAGACTCCTTCGGGTAGTGACGGGTGGGGTATAAATCCAATCTCTTCTTCTCCAATTAACATAAATTATTGTTGTTGCATAGTGTGATCCTAAACAAGTCTACTCAAAAGCCCTTTTAAAATCAGTGGGATTCACTTCTAAGTGAGCAAGGGCAGCCTTAGAGATATACACCATACAAGTAATTTATTTTTTATGTCTGAAGGTCGTGTAAAGATGAAGCAACTTTGTAGCTATTGTGTCAGTATTTTCCATGCATCAATGCATTTTCTTGACAGCAAACAGTGTTGTCTTTCTTGAAGAAATATCTCATGAAGTTTTATGCCAATGCTTTTCCTTGCCAACTCTTTCTATGTTAACTGTTCATATCTTTTACTGTACCACTCTGCACAATATCCAAAGATCCAGAATTCCTTATCATTAAAAGCAGAAGTAACTTTCGAGTGTCAAATAGATAAAACAACCTGTTGCATCCCCAATCAGCTTCATGATGGATCACTAAGGGGCAGGGCTATACTACATGGATAGTCTTTCCACCATTCAAGTTAACTACCTTTGTGATGGGAAATTTGGGAATACATGCCAACACCCTTGGGACATTTTTTGTGGGAAAATCTACTATTTGTTTTCTCTATTTGACTCCCCCCCCTTCTGTACACCTCACACACCCATTCTCTAAACAAATTCCCAATTACCTCTTTTTTAAAATCTCGTTCATCCTCAAAGCCTAAACCACTGTATCAATGAGCACTTTTATCTTATCTGTCATTTAGTTCCTATTTTAATACACACAGCACGGGATAGAGAATTTTGCCCATGTCAAATCTTGCTTCAGGCTGTCTGAGAATCTGAGACCACACTGCTGCATTATTTTTCCTTTGCGTCACATTTGGAAGGACACAGATGAGCCAGTTAAAATTTGGCTGTAATCCAGATTCATACACTAACTCAGAGTGGCTGTGGATATGTGATTAACTTGAACTGCAACCCAGCTTCCTCGTGTGTTATGCAGATAATAAATGCTTCGTAGCATGTGAAGCTACAAATCTTAATCTGTTGCCTTTTACACTGCACTAAAGTTGACAGGGCTTACAAGCACTCAAATTGGTACACAATTTAATACATGTAAATTGTGATGAGAATAACCAAAACATTAAGTGATAACTTAGTTCAGGTTTTAGCAAATGCACATGAATCATGTGGCTGGATTTATGGTATGTTTGCACAAGAGTCTCATGAACTTCGACAGGGCTTACTCCCAAATACATATAGGATTGAAACCAAAGCCGCACTAAAGCTACCACACAGTACTGTGAGTTCTAAACAAGTACAGATACACCTCTCCATCACAACCTTCATCTTTTATGCAAGCCATCACAGGATTTGGAGAACCACCAGGGGAACAGGCATGCGCACGCAGATGTACCATCAGCCATTATACTGATTTCAAAATAAAAGCTTGCCTCCATTTCCGATACTTCTTCTGCCAGACAAAACACTTCAGAAGAAAATTTCAACACTGACTCCAAAAACGTGGAGTTCGAAGTCCTCAGAAATATTATTTAACTGCAGCCATTAAAATATTATTCAACTTTTAATTAACCCAATTAAAAAATTCCAGTAGATAATCAACAACAGGTTAGCACACAAATATTGCACATTACGTTACATTTCCCTTCCCAGACCACCGCCCTCCCCCCACATACCAGCCTGGGAGGCATCTCAAGGATATGGACAGGATAACCCAGGAGAGAGGCACAAAAAGGGTCAAAACTTCCTACACGGTGAACTGCGCCTTAGGAACAGCCTTTGAAAAGAGCTGGCTTCCGTCTGGTGCTGTTGACTGCTGCTTTTTCCCCCCTCTCCCGAACAGCCATTTTACCCTTAAAGTACATCCTCTATTACCAGCCCAGCCTTCATTTTGTGTTACCGTTGAGGGGATTCTGGGGGTGACAGCTGACACCTAAGGGAGGAGGAAGCATGGTGGGGGGGGATATCTGTTCACGTTCAACTGCAGAGAGGAAAGGCGGCCATCTCCTTATTGGGGGGGGGGGAGAGACGAAAAAGAGGGCAGCCGAAGGGAGGCTCCCCACCCTTCCACCTTCCCGGCTTCGAAAGCGAGGGCAGGCGCCGCCGTGAGGGGGGCCGTCCCTGCGCCGCCGCCGCCTCCTCCCCCAGGGAGCCCGGCTCCTCCCGGAGCGGCAGGGGAGCCGAGGGACCCCTCTTTGGCAGGTCGGCCTTGCGATCGTCCCTCCCCCGGGCGGGCGGGCAGTGCTATGCGGTGTCTCCCGTCCCTCCCCCCGGGCGGGCGGGCGAGCTTGCGCTGCGGTGTGTGGCGTGGTGTGTGTCTGTCTCTCTCCCTCGCTTCTCTCCTCTCCTCTCCCC